CCCCTACATGTCCCAGTCATGGCTGGCCGGTTACCTTATCTCTACCGTAAACAAACATTTGGGATGGGTTGTGCGGGAGGCCCAACGCAACCCATGACAGTGACACTATATTAAAGACACAAATGACACATCTAATTAATCTCTCCATTAACACCAATACTGTATCAGATGAGTCTGTCAAAGTAACACCTAAGGTGACGGGTCTGATGTAGGTAATTATAGGCTAGTTAGTGTACTGTCTACCGTTTCCAAAATTCTTGAGAGAGCAGTGTATGTTCAGGTGGAGAGATGTCCCCCAATCAGGCTATAGGGGGGTCTCACTCAACTGAACTTATTATCTCCTAAACTGTCGAGGGAAATTACACAGGTATGGTAACGATAGACTTGTAAAAAGCCTTCGACACAGAGGATCATGATATACTATGTGAAAAACTGCAGGCTCTTGGCATTGGGTCTGTTGGTTGGTTTAAATCCTATCTTAACAACAGGAAACAAATTGTTGGGGCACATAACACCGAGTCAACATCCATGTTTATAACCTGTGGAGACATTTGCTCTTCCTGTGTTGTGTAAACGACATGCCTAATGTGCATTAGTGTTGTAAACTTTTGCTGTATGCTGATGACAGTGCTCTTTAGTGTCAGGTAAAGATCTAAATGATAAGGCTAACGAGTTATCATCTGAACTAGAGACATGCTAACAATGGCTCATAGATAATAAATTATTCCTACAACTAGGAAAGACTGATGCAATATTATTTGGATAAAAAAAAATATTGTACTGTACTATGTGGGAATTAATCGTCTCGACTGTAGCCTTAGTGAAATACCTTGGACTAAATCTCGACTACTGTATGTCTCGTGAATTAATCGTAGTTAATATAGTTAAAAAAGGAATATATTTATATATATATATATATATATATATATATATATATATATATATATATATATATATATATATATATATATATATATATATATATATATATATATATACCTTTTTTAACTATGAAGATTTTACTGAATATATATCTATTTAAATAAAACCATGTGGACAGAATGATCAGACCGAGTCTAGCGAGTGTACAAAATTAATCCCCAGTGTACTGTATAAACATCTCAAAGAGCACTACTCAGTCGAGTGCCCATACCTGGAGCTGGCGGACGCCCGTCCCACTTCTTAACTATACCTTGCCCCAAATATCCTTGTTCACCTCAGAGCCACGGCTCTCTTATCTCGGTGTTCTGACTGATTGACGTCCTGCAAGGGATCACAGCTCAAAGTTCAAGAAACCGCAAGACCAGAAAACTCTGAGGACGAACTTATTCGGAATGAGAATTGTGAACTCTTGGAACAATCTGCCAGTGTGTGTTCTGACGGCGCCAAGTGAGAGCTGTTTCAAGACCAGACTTGACCAACACTGGAGCAGGTTCAGATGCATTCAGGAGCCAGTGCATGCCCAGTACTTGCCAACAGTGCGTAGCACTGGCGAATAGAATAAAATCAAAATCATAATTCATTGTGTTCCTCATAGACATATACTTATTGCATGTCTAGGCCATTTACTAAACAGCCAAGAATCAGAAATAAATCTCGGCTTTATGAATGCCATCTATTTCGGCCACATCCTTTTAGTGTATTGTGGAATGCACAAAACAAAATTTGTAGTTGTATTTTCGAAATTGCAGCACTCTCTTGTGGGAAGTTACAGAGAGCTCACTGGCAACTTACCTTATAATCCACTGAATTAATAGTCCAATGGTCAGTTTGTATCGAACCTTTGAACAAATAAGCCGCTGATATATACAGCGTAGCACCACTGTCTTATTAATTCAAAATTTTAGTTGAGAAACAATTACAATATATTACGAAACACGATTGTATTTATAGCTTAGTTACCCATAAGTAACTTATAACTTTCTATAAACTAAAGAAAATGATAAAGCTATGTATAACTAAAGAAGAAGTTTCGTACAGTATAATGTTAAACCAAAGAAAAATCTGTTAGGCTTATACAAATCTTAATTAATTTCATATAGATAAAGGTAAATTTTACATTTTAACCAAATATAATGCATAACAAATATATTTTTATTCTTCAGGAATTGACTTTGAATAAATCACAATAATCTTAAGCAAACGAAAACTAATACATACACTATAACAAAAGCGACAGTACAGCTTTCCCTGCTATTAAGCATTGCACGCTTAATTAATTTTGACTGTCCTTTGGACAATTTTTAGCTTTGACTTGGAGTAAATAATTTGTTAGCTAATTAATTGATAAAAACAGCAGACATGTTAAAAAAAATACCACACGGGAGTTGAAATTAACTACGATTCTTAATATACCCTTTAATATTGATATGTTTAACTTAGCGACGTCAAGTCAAACCCTAAGGTTTTCTACAATTACAATGAATCGAAATTAGAGACGAGTGTGGGCATATCAGATCTGGGATTAGAGGATGGTAGTACGCGGACTCCTATCAGGACAAGGCAGAGGCGTTTAACCCAAATGTCAAAGCTCATTAGAGTCCTGTCCCTGAGAGTGTGCATCCCAGAGTGTTAAGAAAGTTGTGCAACAAGCTCGCAGAGCCTCTTTACATCCTGTTCTGCAGATGCATGGATGAACAAAAAGGTCTCTAGAGACTGGGAAATGGATTATGTGAACCTATATTCAGACAGTGTGATCGCCACTGCACGAACGATTACAGGTCGGGTAAGTTTGACGAGGAAAACAACCTTGTCGAGGAATGCCAGGACGGTCTTATGGCCGGACGCTCCTGCTTGAAGAAATAACTGGATGAATGGACACAGATTTGGAGTAGGTGACAAATTTGACAATACAGTATCTACTTTACCTCGACTTTGCCAAGGCATTCGATTAAGTACCTCATGAAAGGCTCAACATTACTGTAAACTGGAAGGGCACGGGACTTGGGAACATCTTAGCATAGATCAGACTTTCCTTATGACCGCAATCAGTGTGTGGTGATTAATGACATGAAATAGTCATGTGTTCCCGTGACAAATGGGGTGCCTCAAAGCCGTGTACTGGGACCGTTGTTGTTTGCTTGTTTCATAAATTGCATGCCAGACGATATTCACTGCATACGAGTGTTTGAGAACGAAGCTATGTTCTTCAGCGAAATTAAGAACCAAACGGAGTGTGTAGAGTTGCAGGAAGACCTGCAACGTCACAAAATGCAAAAGGTCGCACCTATACCGTACCAAGAGTGAAAAGGTCTTTTACGTGTCGCAACGTGAAGAAGAAGCATCAATCAATGAAACCAAATGTGAGAAGGATCTGGGTGTGTATGTCGAAAACGAAAAAAATTCTCGGACGATTGTGAGAAGAAGATAGCCAGAGTGCAGAGCCAGACGAATTGGTAGTGTGGAAGAGCGAGTCAACCTCCAGCCTCACGACCGCCCCCAGGAAGAGTCGCACAACCAATACATATCAATATATCTGACCACGCCCCACACAATACAGTGAATACATTAAACGAGGCAGATGCTGAGAATAAAGTGAAGCCAGATGTACCGCAGATTATTTCCGGTTTTAAAATCAAGTACACAAACACTATCCTCGAAAAGAGTGGAGTGTAAACTTAAAAGACTCATCAACCCGCTGTAGTAGATGTTGTGGAACTGTAGTGTAAGAACAGGAAGAACAACCAGGAGTTTAGTATCAATGGGTACGGCTCATTTACAAACTTATCTGTAAATGACGTGTGGTTATTTATATTAGGCAGGACTTCAGAGCCAATCAGCTGAGTCAGGTGAGGGTGCAGAAGAAATTTTTTTTTGAGGAATCGAAATGGTGAAAAATAAACTGAAGGGAAGAGACACACTCCGTTGAATGTATTTACAGACACACGAATTTTAGTTTATTAAACCAGGTCAAGTAGCCATAGACGGTGAGCTGTGGAGGTCAATTATTATAGTTGATAACGTACTATGGAGGCCAGGAGGAGGGATGGGGTGTTAGCTTACTGAGGATTGAGGGCAGCAGAGGGTAGTGGTAGGTGCTATGAGCTGTGGGCGTGTGTGACTATGGACGTCGTGAGACCGTGGGCCTGGGCGCCCTGGTCACTTTGGCCTTAGGTGTGGAAGCATCCTAGAGTCCTAGACTACACAGGGCTGCCAACGCTCCCTGCATCACCCCTCCCAACCCCCCCCCCCCTCCTCCTCGTCGTCACCTGCCATTCTTCACCTGTGAGAATTATTTCCTCTATTTATTATCTCTGTTGCCATTTAATTCTTCTATACATGAGTTACTACCGAAGAAGGCACCAGATAATTCTCCCATACAAGACATTTATTATAATCAAATAAAATCCGAGTTTGGAGGCATATGTAAAATAGTTCAACCTTATCTGGCATCTGTACTAGACGCGCGTCGGTTTGTAAAGAAAATTAACAAGTATACTTTACTTTCCCTACAGAGGGTCTTATTAATGTTACTTTCTTTCTGAAAATATGACCAATAAAAATCACGAATAACAACTGTTTTATATATATATATTCCAAGTTTCTCAGTAATTGGCATTTATGTCACTAAGCACCCGAGATAAATATGTGGTCATAAGAAACTCACAAGTAAATATTATCATAAGAGACAACGTTATAGTGTAGAAGGGAGTACTATTTTGACCCCGACGTAGATACATACTGTAAAGTTCCCGTTAGCGGAAACATAAAACATACAAAATCAAGCTTATTCAAGACGAGTCAGGTAATAATACTAACTGGCAACTTTAATACAGTATCCCCAGGTGCATTCATTCATTCCATATATTTGGTTCCTCGAGTTAACGTAGGTAATATAGTTGAGTTAACTTGTTTAATTATTTTGTATTTCTTGACTGTACTAATAATCCCAGATAAGGCAGGCTAGTATCAGTCGGCACCCTCTCTGGTGAACTGGAGACGCCGCGTCGGAACAGTTGACTCACCTGGCGATTAGAATTCCGAGGCAGGTGTGGTTGTGTCCGTCAGTGAAACTTGGGGCGGTGGCCATGGCGGTGCTGGGAAGGTAGTGTGGTGCTTCCCGCCGATACTTGCTTGTATCTTGTGTGCAGTGCTCGGTAAACAAACCCTCACCATGAATATATTAAAACGAGGGATGGTTTTCATAACCTTTTTCGGGTGCTGCTTCGCCATAGCGCTCATGGCAGCGGCGATGAGCACCAAGTTTTGGCTGGAGGCGGAGGCCATCCAGCGGAGGATTAACCCAGACAACAGAATTGAGGTGCGCCCCAACTCCACGGGACACGTCAACTTTGGGCTCTTTAAAGGCAGGAAATCCCTCAACGTGGGCTTCGGGACAAGGCTTCACCCCTTCGACGGTGAGTAATACTTAATCCTGGTGACTCCAACGCCGGGAGTGACCGACCCCGGGGCACATAACACCCGGGGCTCACTCAGCTCCTACAACACTGCACCCACGACAACTCAGAAATAAACGTATTGTAAGGAGATTCTCGTACAACAGATGAGGAATATTTGAGAGATTTTTGTAGACCAGTATTACGACAACCACGAGAGAACGTCACATGCCTCAGAACTTGAAGGAGTAATGTGTTCCATGCAGCCTCTGCTCTTGACTTAGATGATGTGCCTCGGTGCACCTCAACTTGTTATTGATCAACGGGAACCAGAATGACTTCGTCTTCTGTGTATTGATCTGTTTTTCCTCCCCACAGCCTCTCTGTTCAGTAATTCCTTGCGGTGTTGTGTTGTGTGTAGTGTTGCGGTGAGAGTAACACTGTGGGAATATACTTCAGCAGATTATTCACAAGCGAAGGTTATCAGTTGTATTCTAATGAGCTAGGTAGAGTTTGTTGTCAGAGAGAGAGAGAGAGAGAGAGAGAGAGAGAGAGAGGAATACCCTTTTATTTACTATTCATGTTTAAGAACAGTTATAAGGCATACAAGTGTAGGTCTTCAAGTCAGTGTCACCTACCGCTAATATTGGTAAGGAGGTTCCGGTAGTGGCGGGGAAAATTACTCTCTGACTGATGTTCACCCTCTCCTCCTTCCTGCTCCCCCTCTTACCCTCCTTTCTCCCTTAACCCCCCCTCTCTCTCTGTCACCCCCCCCCCTGGTTTAACCCCTGTTTACACCACTGAAGGCCATTCTTTGTATATGGTTTAATAGGATAGTGGTTGGACACTTTTAGAATGATGGTTTAACTTTAACCCTTCCAGGATGGCGATTTAACCTACCATTCTTCGAGGGTGAAATCATCATTATTAGCGAGTAAACTAATATTCTAATTATCCTGTCAGACCATCATCCTCAAAAGTGTCACCGAGTTAAACACACACACACACACACACACACACACACACACACACACGAGAAAGAGAAAGTGCACCTCCAAGACACCGTAGGAGGAGGGGCAGTGGTCATATCTCACATTATCAGACCCGAGAGCCTCAGCTGGTTGGAGTCTCTCACTAGGTCAACACAGGTGAGAGGCAGAGATAACTGTGTCTGTTTGTTTACATCAGCGGTGACCTCTTGCCCTCTTCTTATCTCTCCACTTACCTCTCCCATTCCCTTCCATCTTTCTCCTCCAGTTCACCTTCCACTTCTTCAATCTCCACCCCCACCTTCCACCTTTACCCCTCCCATTTTTATGTCTTAACACCCATTCTTTACTAATTGTCGAACTCTCTTCTCTTCGTCCTATCATTAGTCATTTTCTATCTCATATTTTATATCTCTCACCTTCCACTCTCCTCTCTCCCATTTGCCCCTTCCCCGTTCCATTTGTACTCTTCCACATCCTCCTGTCAGCTCGCATCAAGGCTTTCACCATAGTACCTCCACTTTCCGTTCCCACGCCCAGCTGTCACCCTCTTCCTCTCTCTCCTTTCTCTTCTACTTCCTCCCGTCACTTTCCTGCCGTCTCTGCCAGTTCCCTATATCCTCTAATACGTCCCTCATAATTCCTCTTTCTTACCAGCCTTCCATCTTCTACTGCTATCGCTCCTTCTCCATTTTCCTTCCTCCCTTCCCATCTTCCCTCCCTCCCTCCCCCCCCTCTCCTTCCTCTCTCTCTGAATCTTCCCTCCTTTCCTCCCTCCCCATCTCACCTCCCTCCCTCCCCATCTCACCTCCCTCCCCACCTTTCCTCCCCACCTTCCCCACACTAAAAATGCACCACCAGTGAGGACTTCAACCTACCCGCCTGTTACTATTTGCAGTTTGTAAGACGGGGTTCCGCGAGACGCACTCTGATGTAACATACAAAGCTCTCTGGCGGTAGATGCAGTCAGGGTACGATGCGATTTCTTCTGCCATGTTTCCTTTTGCTTCTGACACATGGAAATAGTTAGAACCTTACTGAACAGAGAATTTATGATGGGAATATTTCTGTATTTTTTTTTTTCGGAGGTAGATAATTTTTTTTTAAAGACATTAGAGCCCACGTAGTAAACACCTCAGGTTATTTATTTCAACTGATGATTGAATACAACGCAAACCAAACCAAACCTAACCTAACCAAACCTAACCTAACCTAACCTAACATTACCTAACCTAACATTACCTAACTTCAACATAATATAACTTACTATATAATGTAACCTAATCGACTCCCCTCAGGTAGCGTTAAGGTGTTTAATCGCCAAGTTAGATAAGCTGGGAAAAATTATTCACATAATCCCATTCAAATTATATAGAAAATTAACAAAGGAGAGAAATAAAACTAAAACGTAAGATGATTCTATAAAGATGAAAGGTATGACCAAGCATTAATCACCAGATACGTTGGGTACAGTACAGTCACCTTGAAAATACCTGTCGCCTCTCCTCCTGAACCACGAACCCCGAGATTCAGACTCAAGAACCCGAAGCAGTAAACATTGATGCCCTATTCTGTCCATAAATGCTTCGGATTCACGACCCCTGAATCTCGGGGTTCGTGGTTCAGGAGAGGAGGCGACAGGACTTTTTCTTTGTGGTTGATTGTACTCTAAAAATAATCATCCCTCACGAAGGTTTAAAAAACATCCTTATCAGTTCGGTTGGTAAAGGCTGGCATTGAGGGTTGACTAAAGGGAACTAAACAATATCACAAAGTTAAAAAGAATGGCACGGCGCACGATGCTCTTTTATTTCCGCTGTAAAAGTGTCTCAGTAGGCATGATGAGTGGGGGAGAGAGGAGTGAGGAAGGGGAAGGGACAAGTGAGGGAGGGGAAGGAACAAGTGAGGGAGGGGAAGGGACAAGTGAGGGAGGACAAGTGGAGGGAGGGGCATTAAGTGAGGGAAGGGAAGGACAAGTGAGGGAGGGGGCGGGACATGAGGGAGGGGAAGGAACAAGGAGGAAGGAAGGGAACAGAGGGAGGGGGCGACAAGGAGGGAGGGGAAGAACAAGGAGAAGGCAAAGGAACATGAGGGAGGGAAGGACAAGTGAGGAGGGGGGACAAGAGGAGGAAGGACATGGAGGGAGGGGAAGTGATAAGTGAGGAGGAAGGAACAAGGAGGGGAGGAAGGGATGGGTTGAGGAGGGAAGGAACAAGGGAGGAAGGAAGGAAATCATGAGGGAGGGAAGGGACAAGTGAGGGAGGGGGCTGAACGTTATGAGGAAGGGAAGGAACAAGTGAGGAGGAAGGACAAGTGAGTGAAGGGGAAGGGACAAGGAGGGAGGGAAGGACAAGTGAGGGGAGGAAGGGACGGAGGGGGGACAAGTGAGACAGTGAGGGGGGGGACACGGAGGGGAAGGGGACACGTAGGGAAGGAGGGGACAAATGACCCAGGTGCTGCTGATTGCTCCACAGCACTCGGTCTCCTCACCCTTTATACTATTGTCCTGATGTTTACATTATTGGAGAAAAGAAACTATAGTTGATTTTTATGGAGGAGTGAAGAGGTATGGGTGGGTGGGTGGGTGGGTGGATCGGGACATGTTTTTCAACTCTCATGGTCCAACTTTACAACCAAATCTATCGAAATTGATAAAAATTAACTACAATCAACCCCCCAAAATTGCTTAACCACCTTTAAATTCGATAAAATTCACTAAAAGTTTGGAGAGAGAGAGAGAGAGAGAGAGAGAGAGAGAGAGGAGAGAGAGAGAGAGAGAGAGCGTTATATACGAACAGAGAAGGAGTGAAAGTGAGCCTCAACTGAACCCAGATTGAGAGGGAACATACACTAGAGAGAGAGAGAGAGAGAGATCCCTCGACTCTCTGCTCACATGTGTATTACTGGTTTAAAAATAATCTGTGAAATACAACCAAGAAAAAAAATTAGACTAACAAGAAACAACCTACAAAAAGATACAATATAATAACAAGCAAATAAACAAACTTGAAAATTATAATAAAATAAAACAGAAAATTGTAATTAGTTAAAAATAATATATAACATTATTTACGGCGGACATAAACGATAAGACTAAAGATTCCGAAGACAAAATTAAAGATGATTAAAAGGAAATACGTAAGAAAACAAACAAAAATAAGAAAGAAAATTAATAAATAAGTAATAAGGTATCTTCAGGTGAAACTACAATCAAACTTAATTAATAGGGAGGAAGATGTTTTCACCTGGACGGCCGGTGAATGAACTCTCAGGGAAGGCTGTTATCATGAGGGGGCTCTCTCTCTCTCTCTCTCTCTCTCTCTCTCTCTCTCTCTCTCTCCAGTATATAAGGCTCCACTTTCAATCTCTACCTTTCTCTGTTCAGTTTATGAGGCTCCACTTTCTCTTTATTTTGTTCACACACGCGAGATACCAATATATTCAACCAAGACCCCACAAACAACAGAGGTTCAGCTAACAAGGGAAGAAAAACGAGAGGCTATTACTAATGGATCTTGATGCCTTGGTGTAATGGCCTGCATACTTAAGTGTTGGGGGGAGTGTTGGGGGGAATGTTGGTGGAGTGTTGGGGAATGTGGAGTGTTGGGGGAATGTTGGGGATGGTACGTAGAAGAGAAAGCGAGATATGGGAACAGAACATAAGGAACATCTCTCTTCTAACATTCACACGGTGTTCATTTTTACTTATTAGGCGATATGAGAAAGCATTTGTGTGTGTGTGTGTGTGTGTGTGTGTGTGTGTGTGTGTGTGTGTCAATGCGATTGCAACGCTTTCTCTGTGTATGGTGTGTCAAGCGAGCCATGAAGAGGGGTTTTGATATCTATACATAAAGGGATTCTGGCATCTATACTTAAAAGGGTTCTAGTGTCTATATTTAAAGGGTTCTGGTGTGTATATTTAAGAGTTCTGGTATCTATACTGAAAAGGGTTCTAGTATCTATAATTAAAGGGTTCTGGTACGAATATTTAAAAGGTTAGGTTAGGTATGAATTATTACAGTAAAAGAAAAT